CATGGCCACCGCCAAGATCTCCAAGGGGCCCCACTCACAACCGCCAGCAGTCCACCCCCCGAGGCAACCCAAGCACCTCCAGAGAGGGGCTACAGTCCCAGTCACCCCCAGTGAACCCACCTCCAGGGAATGTCCAGATACTCCAAACTCAGCCCCTCCACCCCCTCACCCACATCATCCCGCAGGACAATAGCAATGGTCTCCTGTCATCGCTATGTGAAAACTGATCAAAGGAGCCTAGAGAGATTGGTTTGAAGTGGAAGCAGAGGCTAAATCAAGTGTAATATGATCCAACAAAAGATTTCTTTACTGGTTGATGCAAAGAGTATCTCTATTTTTCCAATTCAAGAGGATAGGTTTCTTAGCGATGCATATGGCAGTCAGAACCACGTGAGCCAAAGATGTTTCAATTGGGACATCGTCCAGGTTTCCCAGTAAACAAAGAGAGGGGGGGCGGTTGGGATGTGACATTTCAGAGACTTTGACAGGTCTTCACACACTCTACCCCAAAATTCCTGGACAGGTGGACAGGACCACAGTGCATGAATGTAATTGTCAGGAATGTTGTTTGTGCAGTGTGTACAGGTGTCAGACGACACAAACCCCATCTTGAACATCCGATGACCTGTATAGTGTACTCTGTGTAGAATTTAGTACTGAATTAATTGTAAATTGGAGTGTCTGATCATTTTAAAAGTTTTTAAACAAATTTGGAACCAGAAGTTCTGGTCAAAGCTGACTGATATATCCACCTCCCATTTTTCAATAGGGGTTGCTATTCTATCGTCTATTTTGGACAGTGTCTTATATACTTTAGACAGTAGTTTGGGGGGTTTGAGATTATAAAAGTCTAATACCCTTGGTGGTCTTTGTTATTCTATTTTATTGAGCATTAATTTTTGTTTGACTAGAGATTTAATTTGGTGATATTCTAAAAAGCTATTCTTATCTATTCCAAATTGGGAGACTATTCTATTAAATGGGATGAAGTCCAATCCTTCATATATGTGTTCCAGGTATAGGATTCCTTTATTTTTCCAGTCCGGAAGGTTCAACATTTTATTATTTTGCAAAATATCAGGATTATTCCAGATAGGTCTGCGTCTGCATGGTATTAGTGAAGACGCTGTCATTTTTAGATACTCCCACCATGCTGTCAGAGAGGTGCTGATACTAATACTTTTGAAGCCTTCATGTTGTCTTATGCTTGAGCTAATAAATGGTAAGTCTGAAAGCTCTATCATATTGCAAAGTGTCTGTTCTATGTCTAACCAGGACTCATCTAGTGGTTTATCTTGCAACCATCTTGGTATATATTGCAGCCTGTTGGCTAAGAAATAATAATAATATAAGTTGGGTAGATCCAGTCCTCCTCTGTCTTTGGTCTTCTGAAGCGTTTTTAAGCTAATCCGTGGAGGTTTATCCTGCCAAAGGAATTTGGTAATTGAGGAGTCCAGAGATCTAAACCAGTCAGCTGGTGGTTTGTTTGGGATCATTGAAAATAAGTAATTTATTCTGGGTAAGACCATCATTTTAATTGTAGCAACTCTCCCCATGAGTGATATCGGTATTTCCATCTTGCAAGATCATCTTCCACTTTCTTTAAAAGTGGGATGTAGTTTAGTTTGGTTAGATCTGCCAACTTGGGAGAGATATTAATTCCCAGGTATGTGATATTCCCTGACTCCAATTGTGTATTAAGTAAATTGACAAAAGAGAAATTAATTGGTAGAACTGTGGATTTTAACCAGTTTATAGAGTAATCTGAATCTTTTGAAAAAGAGTTTATCAGTTCTATTGAATGGGAGAGAGAGGATTGAGAATTCTGGAGAAAGAGTAAAACTGATGAACCATTTCCAGGAACTAGAAGTGAGCCGCATCACAGCTGAGCTTCAGATGACACTATTGTTTTCTGATATTTGGATAATGTGCCTCTGATTGGATAACAGATGCAAGACTCTACTACTGACTTGCAACGTGGATGTTTTTTCTCTACAAACAACACAAGCCTGGAGGAGTTATGCTAAGTGGTGAAGTTGCTAATGCTAATGGTTAGCTTCTACTAGCAAAGACATTCTCTGCCGTTTCCTGCATGCTAAACCAGCAACAGTCTTCCTCATCTCGAGTCAAGATTGGTAGGTCCATAAATGTAAGTTGACAGTGTGATGTAGATCTGTCAGGCTTTTCAAATCCCAGAGTTTTACTGTCTATTTTTTATCAGATGCTAATGCAGGAGATAGGTGTAGGAGACTGTTTTCTTTATTTATTAGTTTAGTTTATTTCAAACAAAGAAAACATACATATTTTTTTTAAATACCATTAACAGAAAAAATACATATCATCCCTTCTTCTGTGTTTGAAAAGGAGTAGGCTGAAGTGGAAACTTATATATCCCTACCCCTTTATTCAAGTAATTTTTACTTGTTTACTAAATCTAACACAAAACCTACATTAAAACAAACAAAATGGTACAAGTCACCAAAAACCACCAAATTATATGGAAAAAAACAACAAAAGAAAAAAAAACATCTTTTTACAATTGATACAATTTACTTTTCCTTAGAATAAAGGACACCCACATAAATCATCTATTTTCCACTATATACTTGTTCAGAATATGTTTTTTATAATTAATTTTAAACACATTTATATTTGTACTTACTTTGATTTCTTCTTCAATTTTTTTCACATTCAGCCTGGATGAAAAACTTGGAGTGACAAATTATAATTAAAAAAAAGATTTTTATAATGTTTTTCAGTGTTCAACTTTTTTGAGGAAAACATTGCCCGCCTTCTAATGTTAGTGATATGACTGTCACAAATGAGCGTTTTAGTTGAAAATCAGCAGCAATAACCCCGTGTTTTAATACTCTCCTTGGGCATGTTTGAGTGGCTGTTTTGGCATGCCAGAAACATGTGTGTGTAACGTGATAACCCTAACTAACCCTTAGCTTGATCGGAGAATCCAAGTGAGCACTGGGTGTGAGTGTGAATTGTTATTTCCGCCCCAAAATTGACCGTTTTGATTATTGACCATCGATTGTAGGCAACACAGGATGATATTCAATTGCAAAAAAATAAATCAATAAAAAATGATGTGAACCCTTTGGAATCATATGGGTTTCTGGGGCCCATATAATTCCAAAGGCTTCACATACTTTTTCTTACAACTGTAGCCTATACTTATATCGTGACATTTTCTTAGCTTTGACTACATTTTCTGCATTCATTGCAATGCTTCACATTCAATAGGATTTTCAAGGGATGGGCAGCAACCAAACATCTACTGGATCCTTTTTTCTAGTCTGAATTTACCAGAAAAAAAAACCTTTTAGTGAGATTGAACCCAGCTATAATCCTCTTCAACTGGCAGTTTGAATGGGACTGAATGTTTTATCTTCTCTTTTCATTGTTTAATTATTCACCTCTTTTTGTTGGTTGATTTTTCAGAGTGAATTTATGAACTTATTTATTAAACAGAGCTCGGTCTTCAATTAGACCAGGCTTTTAAGATGAAGCCATAGAGATCAAGATGCTCCTTTTGGATTGTGTTGGAGCCAGTGGAGGTTTTAATGCACTCAAGTTCAAACACTTACTGTAATTAGGCTCATCAGTCACATACTAAAAGTTGTAACAGTGTAATACTCTAAAGATACCTATTATGTCCAATCAACTATTATACACTGAACAATAAATAAATAATTTATATAAATAATTAAATTATAATGATAATTTATATACAACACATACATAAATAAACAAACTAACAAAGAATAGAATAGACTTTATTGATCCCACAGTGAGGAAACTCACTTGTTACAGCAGCACAAACGCTTAAAAGAAAAATTAGAAGAAAATTAATAACAAAAGTGCCCATATATACACATAGGCATTAAGTTAATATTGTAACTTTTGACCACTGAAACCTTGAATAAAAATAAGTTTGGGTTCCACAACTATGCAGCATACTGTAAGGGTGGGACACAGACATACTATGTAAATCCAGCACTGAAAACAGACTGAGTACTGCATTGATGTTATTACAACAAACAGCAATGTCTACTTAAAGCATTTCCCAAGAAGGTAAAAAGAGATTATTTGAACACAAGAATATTTATTTGTTTTCTGATTCTGGGAGAAAATAATAAAGTATTCAGTTCAAAATACCAACCATTAAAGAAAGAAACAATCTTGTACTTAAATAAATACTTAATGGCCAACTATCCTCTTCTAAACCTTGTTTGCGCGAGGCCACATTTCCAACATGTGCTTTTTTATTTCAGACAGAAGTAGAAACCCATTTTGTTATCCTTAGAGTTGGGTTATTAAATTTCTTCCCAAACTCTCAGACCAACAGAGTTGTCGGTAATGTCTTCCTTTGAAAATGCATTTTTGATGAGTGCCTCAGTGGGAACGAGAGCAAACATCTTCAAACTATTTCACAACAGAAGAACTATGTAATTTTCACTGCAGTCTAAAATTAAAGTAGTTTGCGTATTCCAACACTGTTCTTAGTTTTTTATTTTGCCAAAATGTGTTTTTCCTATTTAAATCATCAAATATAATGGAGAGCTTTTCTTAAAGAAAATAAGGGCCTATTATTACTAAGAATAATGATCCAATTACAGTCTCAGCTACAGTGATTTTGTGTTTTAATACCAGCATTCATTTAAAAACACAAAACAAAACAAAGGATTTTAATTAGCCTGCCTATTATAGATGTGGGGTGTGATGTTTTTTCTTTATCTAAAATCTGGGTGTTTTAACTCCATCAGAAATCAGAAAGGATTTATAAATTGTTAAGACTCCAGTCTTTTTTATGTTTTATTTATGAGATGGACTGCTGTGTGAAGTGCAGTTTTCTTGCAAATGTATTTATTTTGACAGATTTGTAATTAATGTGCTGCCACTGTAATTAATACTGGCTTTATTGTCTGGTTAATTTCAGTTCAAGCTGTTGTTTTTATTTTCATTCATTCGTTTTGTTTTTAACCCATCAGGGAATTTGCACGTTGGAAGGTGAGAAACACGGCGATTGAGAGACGGGACCTCATCCAGAACCCCCTGCCACTCATGCCTGAGTTTCAGCGCAGTGTCCGCTTGCTGGGCCGCAGACCGACCACTCAGCAGTTCATTGACACCATCATTAAGAAATATGGAACCCACATTCTCATTTCAGCCACCCTGGGAGGTAAGACAGGTTCATTTCCTTTGTTGATTCACACACCCAAGTCTCTCTGAAAGAATTTTAATGTTTGGTGTGTTTATTTCTCGTGAGTGCTTTCAGCATTAAACTTCCAAAGTGCAATGACATTCATTTAAAAATGCTATATTTAAATTTATTATTACAATGCGTATGTTAGGATGGAGTCGTTAGAAAGAAGGCAGCAAAAGACAGAAACATGAATTATCCATTAGAAAATTAATACAAAATTCTATGCAGAAAAAGCACAAGAGCAACATGTCTGGTGCAGGCACAGCCTCTTTAGCCCACAGTTTGTATCCATATGCTGGGGGGTGGTTGTTGGGTTACTATGTGGTTTAAATTTAACTTGTGCGTCTCTTTTTACTGAGATAAATGTTTTTTTAATGTAGAAATATTTTTTTTTGTATTTTAATTATTTTTATTACTAATCCATGTACGTAATTCTTTGTGGTTTTATTTTAGTAATAGGGAGTCTAAGTCTCCTCCCCTTCTGATCGGCTCATGGGTTCCCAGAACAAAGAAGAAAAATCAATGGAAGTGAATGGAGCTATAAAAGCTATTTTCTAATCCGCTTTGCCCTACGCCCTAAATCACACATATGTTGTACTTCAATTTAAATGAAATGCATTTGTGTGCTTCAAATATGCCTGTCATGTAATTTGAGATTTATTAGCTTGTAAAAATCTGTAAATAAAATGACTACATATCACAAGTCATATATATGACGTCACTGCAGAATCTCTTGTCCCCCAGCATAGCTGCTACTCACCACATGGTAAGATTTATAGTGGTTTTCCCCACATTTAATGCTCTTTCTGTCAGCCTGGAAGCAGGATTCAAAGCTTTCTAAACAGACCTTCTCTTCTCCATGTTTGGTTTGATTATGTCAATTTGGTGAGACACACTTTGTAGTCCGTTACAAATTTTCACACAAAATCTTAAATTTCCTTTAAAAAATAAGCGCTTTCTTGGCATCAAAATGTGTCTTTAAAATCCATGGCACATGACAAACGGGATCGAAAAATAACTTTTATCCACCCATCTACCGGGCATGACTTGGGCTCCATATGGTCTGGATCAGTGAAGTATGGGGATGAAATGTAAACTTCTTCTACCTTCTGACTTAGCCAAATTTCTCCCGAGAGAGACAAAGAAAAAAAAATTGAGCTTTGAATATCAGTTGTACGGAAGCCCTGAAAGGCAACAAGAATAAATGTTTTTTGTTGTGGCATTTTTCCCACTTCTCATCCAACAATGAGACAGAAAGTTTGTTTCTGCACTTGTAAAAGTTTTTATTGTTTCTTGGTTCTTTTTATGTTTTCTTAGGCCCTCAAAGGCAAACAAAAATGTTTGTTGTTTCTACTGGAAATTTTCTAAGTTTTTTGTTATTTTTTGCATAGCCAGAAGAGAAAACCAAAAAGTATGTTTTTTCATTTTGCATGATTGTCTGTATAAATTAATCCACCCTCTCATCATAATAAGCCTGTGGTGTAGTAGTTAGCACAATGGCTAAAGCATCTTTTTTTGTCATATCCTGATCCCAGTTTGAATCCCTGCAGAGTAACGGAGATGCAAATGCTCATTTACCAAATCAAGGGTACTGTGATCTGAAACACGCCACTTTTGTTTTTACCATCTGCTAGTGCAGATCTGTGTGAATATCTTGACTACCCCTCATTTTTAACTCAGTGAAGTGAAACTTATCTTGTATGTATTTTTGCAACACTTTTTATGCCTTTCTGGAAATCTCCAGGATTAGTTTTTCAGATCATTTCAGTCGAAGTCATTGAACTTGTTTCTACATGTTTATAAATGACTTGATAAATAGGTTTTCATTTGAAATAATTCCTAAGCTATTTTTATTTTAGAGCGATGTTCAGAAAAACAACAACATCAATTCAAATACAATCCAGTCAAATCAAAAGAATTATAATTATTATTAAATCGTTAAATTAAGTCTAAATAAACTCGCTGATTTTGGAAAATCAAAAAGCATACTTCAGCCGTTTGAATTTAGCTAAACACTTTAATTATGTTATATTTTAATGTTTAAAACTTTTACTAAAGTTTTCTTGTTACGCCTAAATGTAGAATTAAACATGAGTACTGAATCAAGAGGATCATCTTAGTCCCAAAATGATTGGCGATGCCCAAACGCAATGGTTGGGTTTCTTATAAACAGTTTGGCTGTAAAATCATCAGGGTTTGAATCCTCTTCTAATATTATGAGAACAATCAGAACAACAGAAAATATAAAAAAAAGAAAAACTGTTGTTTTTGGAACATGTTTTTGTCAAGACAAGCTGGAAATCAATATTTGTTTGAAAATAATATTTCGTACAAACAAAGAAGCCTAAATGAATTAAATGTTTTTTTTTTTTGTAAAAAAGCATATTCACTTTTAAATGCATCCAACACTGACATCATTGCTGCCTGACACATTTATTTACATTTAAACTTGATGCTAACTAACACACCCTGTCTTTCTATGTGGCCACAGCAGTGTTTAATTACATCATGACATTGATATGCAGCATCTCATTACGTTTTGAAATTGATGCAGACCATTGTTTGGTGTAAACAATAGAAAGTAAATGGTTGTTACTTTATCTGCAATCACTGTATCTGAAATAGGTGACAATAAATACCTTTGATGGATGCTTTTAGTTTTTTTTTTTTTTGGCTGTCCTTTCCAAAATAAAAGTTAAGCATCTCTGCTGTTCAAGACTAAATATAATGACTCCCGATATCTCTTATCTTATCTAGAGCTTTAAAGGGACCATGAAGGCAGCTGTGATTACTTCAGCAAATGCTTTTAAAAGATATGATTGGTGAGATAGCCCGCTCGGTTCCTTAAAGTCAGCTTTACATAATTGTATGCATGACTGCCAAGTAGGCCAGTAACCTAAGTACTGTAAAATGTTTTCTTACTTTATAATCTAAAAATCAATGCCTTTGAAAATTACTTGTAATACTTTATGAAATCCTCCTTTTCCTGCAATTATAACACTATTGATTAACCTTGTGGGTGTTGGAACTCAGTATTTGCTGAAAAGGGTTTGAAAGAGATGTGCAACAAAAAGTTGAAAGAGTTTCATAGTTTTAAAAATATGATTTTTTCCTCCTGGAAATCCAGGGTAGTCGCCCTATTGTTGCTTAATTCTATACAATTAATGTCCCACATATAACATTATTATTTAGAATTAAACATTTAATTATATAACCCAGGGTGTGAATGTGTGTGCATGGGTGAATGACTAATTGTGTTGTAAATCACCTTGGGGGGGTTTAGATCTCCAGAAGGTGCTATTACAGGCCATGTACTATTCAGAAACTTCTTTTGGAATTTCTCCACTATGATGCCATCAATAAAAATGTTATTTTTAAACTATAATTTCTTCATCTGATCAGTTAAATTACGCAACCATGGTAAATCGTTGCTGTTTTGTGGGGTGCAACATGTGATCGCCTGGGAAAATGGTGGAAATCGGGCAAACTTTTCACCATTTTCCTGCTTGGAGGCACAGCCACGAGACCAAGTATCTGACATAACACAATGTCACTGACTTGCTTGGATCACAGCTATGAGGCAATATTTTCATTCTGGTAAGTTACAGATGGTGTGCCTTTTTTATACATTGTTACTTTTCTTCAACTGCGATATGCACACACAACACACACACGGATACAAGCGGCCGAGATGAGTTTCCTCCTTAGGGTGGCCGGGCTCAGCCTTAGAGATAGGGTGAGGAGCTCGGACATTCGGGAGGGACACACATACCAGTAAGCTAATGCGGGCACGCTGACACACAACACAACTTCTCCTGCTACACTGCTATGGGATAACAATGTTGAGTGTTTTACTAGAAAAACCAGCAAATGAAACATTTACCTCTCATCCGGATGTTTACATCCACTCACACCACAAACAAGAAAGCCGAAAATGTCCATTATGCACAACTGCAGTGGCAACAAGCTGTCATGGGTGCTCCAGTCATGGGTCTTGTATCCAAACAGTTCATAATGCTGATTTTGTCCACATGCCGGTCTACAACGTATCCCTGTATACTCCACATCCTTTTTGAGGTTTGAATGTGTTGTTTAGCCCTTGCTTTCACCCAAATCCGCTTCTTCTTTGCGACATATGTTTCTTTTCACGGTTTGTTTACACTCGTAAGGCCATCAACATGTCTGCACACTTCCCAGAATGCTAAGTGTAATAACGTGTGATCCTAAGCCCTATTAGTGTGTGAAGTAAAGTAGCAAACATTCTGCAGAAAACATCTCACCCCTTTATAGAACCCGTTTGTATTAAAAAATGCTTGTGGAAGTCCTACGTAGTGTATCAACAAATACTCTTTAGTCCATTCCAATAATATCATCGTCGTCGTCTTCCTCCGCTTATCCGGGTCGCAGGGGCAGCATCCCAACTAGGGAGCTCCAGACCGTCCTTTCCCCGACCACCTCCACCAACTCCTCCGTCAGGACCCCAAGGTGTTCCCGGACCAGATTGGAGATGTAACCTCTCCAACGTGTCCTGGGTTGACCTGAGGGCCTCCTGCCGTCAGGACATGCTCGAAACACGTCCAGGAGGCATCCTGACCAGATGCCCAAACCACCTCAACTGACTGCTTTCGATCCGGAGGAGCAGCGGTTCTACTCCGAGTCCCTCCCGAATGTCCAAGCTCCTCACCCTATCTCTAAGACTGAGCCCGGCCACCCTAAGGAGGAAACTCATCTCGGCCGCTTGTATCCGTGATCTCGTTCTTTCGGTCATTACCCAAAGCTCATGACCATAGGTGAGGATTGGGACATAGATCGACCAGTAAATCGAGAGCCTGGCTTTCTGGCTCAGCTCCCTCTTCACCACGACAGATCGGCTCAGCGTCCGCATCACTGCAGACGCTGAACCAATCCACCTGTCGATCTCCCGATTCCTCCTACCCTCACTTTTGAACAAGACCCCGAGATACTTAAACTCCTCC